GAGCTCCTGATCCTGAATGAAGTTATGTAGAACGACCTGTTTCTCCTTCAGCTGCTCGATGTCGGAATCCCTGTGTTCCTGCCGTTGGCCTTCTCCTTCCCACGTGGCAGCCACTGAATCAATCCATCTCTGCTTATCTTCCTGGAGGGTTCGAATCATTGTATCTTTTTCTTGCATTGATTTTCGTAGCTCTTCTACCTCCTCTTGGAGCAACTGAGAAGCCTCATTCCTCTGTCAGATTTCATGGCCTCCAGAGAGTCCGCTGACTCCGAGGAGTCGGTGGAGGGCTGGAGGAAAATCACGTCCAGTTTCCCTAGAAGGAGATCCTTGGCATTGCAAAGCTCCCCGTTGCTGAGCTGCATTTGTGCCAGTTCCTTCTCTAAATGTTGTAAATGTATTTCATTGCCTTTGTACGGTTCGATCAGGTCACTAGAGGTCGTCTGGAGTTCAGAATCCTTCTCGCTGCTGGTGAAAGCCCGCGCCTGGAGTTGTGCCAGATCTCTCTGAAGCTGGGGTGACTTACGCTTCATATCTTGGACTGCAGTCATCACCTGCTGTTTCCACTCTTCCATGATCTTCACTCGCTGTTTTAATGTGTCCCGTTCCTGGAGAAGCTGCTTCAACTGATCCATATTAGTTCCTCGAACCTCATTACCAGTGCTGGATGATTGCAGGAGTGTCAATAAAGTCTGACATTTCTGACTTAACGCATCCACTTCGAGGTCTTTTTCTCGAATAATGTGTGATAAATTCTGAATCCTTTCTCTAAATATCTCCTGACCACTACTCTCAATTCTAGTGGACAGTTTTTGATTTTCCTCTTGCATTCTCTGGAGGTCTGCTCCTGTGACAGTAATTCTATCTGCCATTTTGTCATATTCTGTCTTCAGATCGCTGTTCTCCCTCCTTTTCTCGTTTAAGGCAGCCAAGACCTGTTCGCTTTTCCCAGCATACTCTTGCAATTGCCGCTGAAGTCGCTCCACGTCCCCGTTCTGGCTGTGAGAAGCCGCAGAGATCCTGCTGGAAAGACCCTGAATCTCCAAATCTTTCTGCTGGATGATCTGAGTTAGTTTACCAATCTCCTCTTTGGAGAGCCGATCGATCTGTTCCGTCAGTC